TGTTTTGTTTTTAATTTTGTTTAACGTTTATTTATTTTTGAGACAGAGAGAGACAGAGCATGAATGGGGGAGGGTCAGAGAGAGAGGGAGACACAGAATCCGAAACAGGCTCCAGGCTCTAAGCGGTCAGCACAGAGCCTGACGCGGGCCTCGAACTCACAGACCGCAAGATCATGACCTGAACTGAAGTCGGACACTTAACCGACTGAGCCACCCAGGCGCCCCTGTATCTGGTTGTTTTAATTTACTTTTTTTTCTAAGTAGGTCAAATATTTTTTATATATGCTTTATTATTTGATTTTTCTTTTATAAATTTCCTGCTTTGTCTTAGTTTTTGACATATTCTTACTAATTTTGTAGTAGCTTAATGTACAAAGGAGAGTGACTCTTTGTAATATATATTGCAAATGTTCTCAGATTTATTCAGCTTTTAATTTTTACACTAAAATTTTATTATTTTTTTATTGAAGTATAATTAACATAAAGTGTCATGTTAGTTTTGGGGGTACAACATAATGGCTCAACAATGCTATATATTACTCAGTGCTCGCTGTGATAAATGTAGCTACCATTTGTCACCATAGAACATTGTTACAATATTATTGACTATATCTTCTATGCTCTACTTTTCATCTCCATGACTTATTTATTTTATAGTGGAAGTTTGTACCTCTTGATCCCTTTATCTGTTTTACCCACCTCCTCCCACCTCTCCTGCAACAACTGCCAGTTTATTCTCTGTATTTAATAGTCTGGGTTGTTTTGTTTGTCTGTTTTTTAGATTCTACATATAAGTGAAATCATGTGGTGTTTGTGTTTCTTTGACTTACTTCACTTAGAATAATACCCTCTATGTCCATCCATGTTGTTGTGAATGGCAAGATTTCTTTTTTTTTTTTTTTTTTAATTTATTTTGAGAAAGAGAGAGCACGTGGTAGGGTGTGGGGCAGAGAGAGAGAGGGAGAGAGAGAATCCCAAGCAGGTTCCACATGGTCAGCATGGAGCCTGACATTGGCCTTAAACCCACGAACTGTGAGATCACGACCCAAGCCGAAATCAAAAGTTAGACATCTAACCTGATTAAGCCACCCAGGCGCCCCTAGATTTCATTCTTTTTTATGGCAGAGTAATATTCTGTTGTAAATATACACATCCTTTTTATCCATTCATCTGTTGATGGACATTTTAGGTTCCTTCCATATCTTGGCTATTGTAAATAATGCTGCAGTAACCACAGGTGCATATATCTTTTCAAATTAATATTTTGTTTTCATGGGTAAATACCCAGTAGTGGAATTACTGAATCATATAGTATTTCTATTTTTAACTTTTTGAAGAACTTCCGTATTGTTTTCCACAGTGTCTGCACTAGTTTACATTCCCACCAGCAGAGCACAAGGGTTCCTTTTTCTTCACACTGCCATCAACACTTACTATTTCTTGTGTTTTTTATTCTAGCGATTTTGACAGATGTAAGGTAGTATTTCATTTTGATTTTGATACCAAAGTTTTAAATTTCCATTATATTAGTTTCTGCCTGTGTGTGATGCTTAAAAAGCCTTCTTCAGTTGCAGATTTTATAAACACTTATATATGTTGGTGTAATTTTACTCTTCCTCCTTCTAACCCCAACCCCCTGCCCTGGTCTTTTTGATTACATAAGCATACATGGGAAAAAATGCTACCAGATGATACAATTTTGCCTTAAATAATCATAAGTATTTTAAAGGAATTCAGGGGGAAAGGTAGTCTTTTGTATTTACCCAGCTATTTATCATTTCTATTGCTTTTCTGTTATTTTTGATGTTTCCGGTTTCCTCCCCGTACTGTTGCTCATTAGCCTGAAGAACTGCCTTATTTAACATGTCTTCTGAAAACTCCTTTGGCAATGAATTCTTTTAGTTTTCCTTTACTAGAAAATGTGTTTATTTTGCCTTCATTTCTGAAGGATAATTTTGCCAGATAAAGAATGTTTAAAAGTCTTTCCTGCTGCAATATTTTTTTCTTTTCAATCTGAATTTCCAGTTACATATATGTTAGATACACGGGTCCCTGACACTCTTGCATTTTTTTTTTAATCTTTTTCCCCATTTTTTTCCCTTTTTTGAGACAGAGAGAGGGAAAGCACACGAGCAGTGGAGGGCCAGAGGGAGGGAGAGAGAGAGAGAGAGAGAGAGAGAGAGAGAGAGAATGAATCCCAATTGGGATTCTCTCACAAGATCATGACCTGAGCCAGAATCAAGAGTTGGACACTTAACCAACTGAACCACCCAGGCACCCCCACCTCTGGTTTTTCAAATTAGATACTTTCTATTGATCGGTCCTCAAATTCACTGATTTTTTTTTTTTTTTTCCTCTGTAATCTCCATTCTGCAATTCAGTCCAGGGAGTTTGTTTCAGTTTTTTCATTTTTTAATTTAAAATTTTTATTTTGGTTGGGGTTTTTGGGGGGGGGGGGGGGGGTTCTATTTCTCTACTGAGAATTCCTGTTTTTCACTTCCATTTCAGTGTATTTTCTATAACCTCATTTCTATTCCTTCAAAACAGCATAGTTACAATTCCTGCCTTAAGATCTTTGTCTCCTGGGACTCAGGGTCATCTCAGAGTTGGCATCTTTTCTCTTGAAAGTTAGCTACATTTTCCTGGTTCTTTGTATGTTGAGTAATTTTGGATTATGTTCTAGATGTGCATGCTATGCTGTGTGTAATCTCAGTCATGTTATAATCATCTGGAAAATAGTGTTTGGTGTAAGCAGGCAATCATACCAGTTAAAGTCAAAACATGAATTCTGTCAACAATGCCTGGGTAGATGGTGGTTCACATCTCAGTTTTATTCTCTGAACATTGGCTGTGCTGTTTTGGGTCTCTCCTGCACATAAGCTGTTCAGGGATCGTCTGACTTGTACAGGTTTTTCAAATCTTTGTTTTGTTCTCTAGATCTTTACCTGTTTGTTGACTTAAGGTTTTCCCATGCACATTTTATTCAGAGTTAATCCTGAGACCTGTGCTAGTGATTCAGGTTTTAGTTCCATTCCCTCAGCCTTTGTTATGTTGATTTGGATCTAGCCTGCATAGTTCAGAGGTTAGGTTGAAACTTCTATAGGTTCATGCATAGAATTAATTAGAGGATCCTCTCCTCCCCTATACATAGCTCACATTCTTCATTTTTTTTGGAGTCTAAAATTATGAGTTCTAAGTTTAGTTATTCATTGATTTCATAAAGTGTCCCAACTACAGAAGAAGACTAGCTATATTTAGGAAACTGAAGACTGAAAATTTTAATTAAAATTTATTGAGAATCTGTTATCTAACACACTTGTTCTAGGTAAGGGGCACAGCAGTATGAGTTACACATAGGCTTTCCTCTTAAATGGTTTGCAGTCTGGTAGGACAACTAACTATAATATGGTAAGTACTGTGTATAATAAGCACATTCTCTCAGCAAATATTTACTGTGTACTATGGGCCAGGCACTGCTGTAGGGACTAAGGATACAGTGGTGAACAAGACTGGCATACAGGAATAAATTTAAGAAAACACTTGAACTAACCTGTGGAGGAAATCAACTGAAGAAAGTTATGTTTTAGATGTGTTCTGATTAACTGCATAGTTTTCTATACTAACTTGTATTTGAGTACCATATTGCTTTATTTATATCTATTTGACAGAATTATAAATAGTATTTTGATTCCCTCTTGGTATCTAAAATATAATGAACCTCAACATTGAATAGTGAGCTGGTTTTGGACCCAGTTCATATTAACCTTACAGACCAATAAATTAACTTCACATTCTCAACAAAAGCAGCAGGATACACAAATTATCTTTATTAGTGATTTTTTAGTAATCAGTGTCCTGTTTTTAACACTTTATAAGCTTTTTTTAATGCCGGTTTTAAAAATAGATTATGCTAGGTCTATTAATGAAAGAAAAACAAATGGTATCAATTAAATTTTAAATAAAAAGAAATGAAAAATATATATTTATCTGAATAATCATCTTTTAGAGACCTCTTTATACTATTGCAGTAACCCTTAGAGTTATTTCAGAGGTTCTCCTTTGGGTATATGCTTAAACATAAGTTTTACTTGAATACTATTACATGTTTTATCATCAGAAAAAAAAGTGACATTTAAAAATTCCATTGATTTCATCATAAAAATAGTCATAGTACTTTAAGATTGGATGCACAAGATCAGAAGAAATTAAATGAGATCTTTGTATAAAAGAGTATGTTTAAATTACGTTTATTGCTGTGTAACAAACCACCCTAAAACTGAGTGCCTTGACATCACAGTCATTTGGATTTATTTGTGTATGATTCTGCAATCTAGACTGTACTTATCTACTATTTCTTCTGCCGGCCCCTCCTCGGGTCCCTCATGCTGCTGCAGTTGTCTGGTTTGACTGGAGCGAAAAGGGTCCGAGATGGCTCAACTTGTTCAGCAGCCTCCTTGGGACAGTGGGTCAGCTAGGGGCCGATTGAGCCTTCTTCCTTCGTGTAATCTCTCACCTTTCAGTAGTCTACCACAGTCATTTCTGTAATCAAACATGTGTTGATTATTTGATTAGCCTTGTTGCCCTTCTTATTATATTGTTTCTGTGGGGAAAAGTCAAATTACGTTACTTTATTTTTACATGTAACTTCTTTTACGGGAAAAATAGTGACCTATCATAAGTTTAAGAAGTATCTAGTCTTTGAAATGGATTCTTTGCTAAGTTTGTTTTGTTTTGTTTGTTTGTTTTTAAGAGTATGTGAACGGAGGAGGGGACAGAGCGGGAGAGAGAATCTCAAGCAGGCTCCACGCTCAGTGAGGAGCCTGACACAGGGCTCATTCCCGCTACCCTGGGATCACAACCTGAGCTGAAGTTAAGGGTCGGACGGTCAACCAACTGAGCCACCCAGGCTCCCCTCTTTTTGCCAAGTCTTGAAAGACTGAATAATTATTATGTCATGTAATTAGTTTAATAATTATTTATATCTCTTTTCTTAAAAACAGGCAATTGCTGGCTACTTCGATATATATTTTGAGAAGAATTGTCACAAGAGGGTAAGTATCCTGAGTTTTCTCGTAAGAATTAATTATGTGAAATACATTTATTTTATTTGTGTGCCCCCAGGTGTTTGATCATAAGCATTTTGATGTTGTAAGCAATTGGAGCTTGTATTTGATGTCGTAGATTAATGTAGCATGATATTAAAAATCTTGTACTTCATCAGTACTTTTGAACTCTACCAATGCAGGTTGTGTTCTCCACGGGCCCCCAGAGTGCCAAAACACACTGGAAACAAACAGTATTTCTACTGGAAAAGCCATTTTCAGTGAAAGCAGGTGAGAAGTAATAGTAAAAGGGGAGAAATGTCTTATTCATTTTGAAGTTAACAATATCCCTTCATTCCGCACAATTTTTTGTGTGCCCACTGTATTTAAGTAACAACAGATCTAAGATAAGATGTTCTCAGAGCTACATGAATTTTAGATGGCATGTTATTTCATTAAAGTAGTAATTTAAAGAAAACTCTTATTTAAATCTAGTTCCCACCATTTAAAATGTATGTGACTTACTATGTGGCTTTTGAATACCACAAATAATTCAGAAAACGTTTCTTTAAGCAATAAGTAGTATTTCCTAAGTTGCAACTATAACTAAAAATATTTTCGTTTCCAAAGTGACTAAAGAGAAGTATCACCAACAGAGGTGAAGTATAAATTAAAGAGAATGCCATTCAGTAGTTATTGTATTCAATATATATGTTTAGAATGCTCTCCACTGTCATCACCTGCTCAAATCTTAAAGGTTCAAGGACTGGTCCAATTCTACATTCTTTTGTTTTACACCTCATTGATTTTTCACTTAGATGAGCACCTATAGTTCTGATACACCTACACCCTTAACTCCACAAGTTCGAATTTGATTATAGAATCTTTTTTTTTTATTTAAATTACTCATTACATATAAGTTGTCCTGTCCCACTTTCACTGAAACCTTCCTGACTATCTTCTTCCTTCGTGTACAGAGCTGAATGTACAACTAACTGTACATACAGAGCTGTACGTACAACTAACTTTGATGAAAAGATACTCAACATCACTAGTAACTCAGGAGAGGCCAGGTAAAACTATGTAAAAGACTGTGTTTTAAACATCACTACAGGAAAAAACACATAAAATTTAACAATGCTGAGTGCTGACAATAATGCAGCCAAATGGAACTTTTAAACTCTTCTGCTGATAGTCACGATTGGTACAACTTTAGAGAACAGTTTGCTGCCATCAAGTGAAGTATAGATGTATAAGTATCCATCACTACAGCCAGTTTTCTTCCCTAGGCATGTATTCCGAAGGGTCTCCCCCACAACCTGTGTACAAGTATCTTGACAACAGTATGGTTTGTAGAAGTGAACAGTTGGAGGCAACCTTAATGTCCATTAACTGAAGATAAATATGGTAGTTACATACAATAAAATCTCTGTAATAAATCATATATGCGTGTCTGTCAGAAGCAACTTTAAACAAAAGAAGTTGCAGGATTCCTACAATGCACTGTTTATATGGAGCTTGAAAACATGTGAAACAATTATACATACACACACATAGTAAAAGTAAGAAGCAACACTTAAAAATGATAACTACGGAATTCAGTGAGTGGTCACTTCTGGGGAAAGGTAGAAGTAGGATCAGGGAAGGCTATAAAGAGGGTTCGGTGCCATATATCTGAATCATTCCTTTTAGAAATTGAGGGAACTGTGGGAGGATGGTAAGATTTGGCAAAGCCGAGTGTTGGGTCCCAGGTGGTCATTATATTGTTCTCTGTATGTTTAAAATACAATTTCATAAAATTCATTTCTAGCTTTGATTTCATTGTTGATGCATAAATTGAATTTAGTAGATGCAAATAAACACTATTAGAGTAAAGCAGCACCTTGTTGCCCTGTTTTCACTTTAAGATCGCAATGATATGGAATTAACACCTTGATAGTATCATTTTCTCTTTCTCCAAAAAGCTTGAACACAGCAAAGCAAGTGAAGCAAGCACAAATGAAATTTTATTGCATTTTCTTTTTGTTTGTTTGGTTGGTTTTTATATACCTTTGGTATTTGGATGATATTTGGAAACTTGAAAATGTTGCTTTCTTCTTTACTGTAACCATTTTATTGTTTCAGTGCTAGAATTGTATTATTTTTTTTTTAAGTTTATTTATTCATTTTGAGAGAGAGAGACAGCACAAGTGGGAATGGGGCAGAGAGATTCCCAAGGAGGCGTCACACTGCCAGCGCAGAATCCAACATGGGGCTCAAACCCCAAACTGTGAGATCATGACCTCAGCTGAAACCAAGAGTCGGACTCTTAACTGACTGAGCCACCTGGGAACCCCTTAATGCTAGAATTTTAAATACAGTACTAATTCATTCATGTTTTAATCTTAGAGGAGATTTAAGATAATATTTTCATTTTCTCCTACCTAATTATAACAAAATATTATTTGATGTCTAGTGAAATTTTGAAATCCTAACTACGCTTTACCTAGTAATCCTTAGACTAATTGTTTCAGCTGTTTTAGAATACTATGAAGGAGGTGTGTGATTTTAATGTTTCCTTCTGGCACCATCTACATTCTATATTTCTTTCACTGCTATTGTATATGTACTTGTATTTAAATAAATAGTAGGGCCAATACATCAAAAATATTAGAATCCCCTTTTAAAGTACAACCGGGAAAGTCTTGAAAGGGAAATTTCAAAGTAATTAAAATGTGGTCATTTCAGCTATGGAAGTATAAAGGAAGAATTATACAAAGAAATATAACACTTTTTTTTTTTTTTTTAAACCCTGCTGAGCCTCTGGTGGTAGTACTCAATGAATAGAAGCTGGAAGTTGCAGGGCCAAGTACTAAAAAGGACACATTAATCAGAAAAAGAGCTCCAGAAATCTACACATGATGTCCCCTTCTGTTTTGGATGAGTACTAAGATGTATATGTGTAGGATGAAATGCCTGAGGTTAGGCAGAACATCTGGGGCAGCTGTGAACCAGACAGTTCCCAAAGTTTACAGGAGGCTGTTTAGGGTTTTGACTTTCAACCAGCAAGAGTGGGGAGTCCATAGCTTCATAGTGGAAATAAACTGTCCCTAGAATAAAGGCTAACCTGCATGCTCCTTAACAAAGCTTAAAAACAAGGCTTAAAAGAAAAAAACTGGACCCAAGTGACTTTAATGGCAACAAAGGAAAACAAAAAACTCAGACATTGCACAACATGAAATTCATCATGGCAAAAACTTTTCATCAGTGACTTTTCATCAATCAGAAAGACTTTGTTTTCTCATTTTTTTAATTTGGTAAAAGATAATTGACTATTTAAAGCAAAAATAATGTACTGTGGGTTTCAAAACATAGACTGAGGCACATGGGTGGCTCAGTCGAGCATTCATTTCTTGATTTCAGCTCAGGTCATGATCCCAGGATCGTGGGATCAAGCCCCACATCATGCTCTGTGCTGAGCATGGAGCCTGCTTAAGATTCTCATTCTTTTTCTGTCTCTCTCTTCCTCCCTCTCCCTCTGCCCCTCTCCCCCCTCTTGCTTTCTTTCTAAAAAAAAAAAAAATAATTTTAAAAACATGGAGACATAAAATGTATGGCAGTGATCAAAGACATTAATGAGAAAATGGAAATACATTAAGTTCCTACATGGTACATGAAGCAATTTAATGGTAAATTATGATAAATTAAATATGTACATTGTAAATGCCAGAGGAACAGATTGAAAATTTAAATTAAGCCACAAAATATAGCTAATAAGCTAGTAGTGAAGATAAAATGGAATTTTGAGAAAAAAGAAGATACAAACATAACCAGGTGGACCAATAAAAAACAAATGGTATGATGGTAGACTTAAATTCCAACATTAATAACTATATTAAAAATGAATGGTCTGCACACCCACACAATGGAATATTTTGAGTGCTAAAAAGAAATAAACTATCAAGCTATGAAATGATATGGAGGAATCTTAAATGCATATCACTAAGTGAAAGGAGCTAATCCGCAAAGGTTACCTACTGTGTGATTCCACCTATAGGACGTTTTGAAAAAAGCAAAACCACGGAGACAGTGAAAAGAACAGTGGTCACCGGGGACAAGGGATACAAATGAGTAGAGCACAGAGGATTTTTATGGCAGTGAAAATAAGCTCTTTCACTGAATGCAACTTCAATACCAGAATGCATGGAACAGCTACTTGACATCTCTGAAAAGTAAATAATAGCAGATAAATTGGAGAAGACCCGAATTCAGAGTACCCCGAAGTGGTGGTAAATATGTGATTTATTTGCTTCCAGTATCCCCCAGTCTGGACTCCAGACAGCCTGAAACCCAAAAGGAGGGCATTAGCACAGCAAGAACTCCCAACAGAGCCCTCTAACTCTAACTTAAGGAATGGGGAAAGGGTCTTCTAATTAATGCTCAGAGAGAATGGAGGAAATTCCTTTTTCTTTTCTATTTCTCTCTGTTCTCTCATACACCAACCCCCAGTTAACCCCACAGTAGTAGCAAAAGTAACAGTGGCAGCAACGGGGACCCAAAGACAACTTAAACTGTGGGGAACAGTAGGTAAATGAGTGCATATGGCTGTGCCCCATTAAATTTTATTTACAAAAACAGGAGGCCAGCCTCAAATCCATCTCCAGGTATAGATTGCTTCATTGCAAATTCTTCCAACCCTTAAAATAGAAATAATACCAATTCTACACAATGTCTTCCAGAAAGTAGAAGAGAATTAAGTTTATGAGGGCCTTGATACCAAAAACTAGATAAAAATTGTACAAGAAAATTAAACTACAGAGCAGTGTCTCTCATGAATATAGATGCACAAATTTTAAACAAAATACTAGCAAATTGAATCCAGCAATATATTTAAAAAAAAAAAAAAAAAAAAAACAGCACACTATGACCAAGTGGGATTTGGTCCAGGAATACAAGACTGATTTAATAATTTAATATTTTTTTAATACTTTAGAATCTTTTAATGCAGTCAACCATGCTAACCATCTAAAGAAGAAAAACCATATGGTCACATCAGTGGATGCAAAAAAAGCATTTGACAAAATTCAGTATCTATTCATGATAAATACTCGTACTAGAAATAAAAAGAGAACTTGCTGAATCTGATAAAAGGTGTCCACACAAAGTCCATAGCTAGCATCATACTGACTGGAGCAAGACTGAATGTTTTCCCTCTGTTTGGGATAGGGCAAGAATGTTCGCTCTCATCACTCCTATTCTCTTATTTTGGAGGTCTTAGCCAGTGCAATAAGGAAGGAAAAAAGAATTAAAAG